ATAGTGGTGCGAATTTGGCCAAAAAGTGGTGACTCGGAACCGTGGGCCCCGATTCGGGGCTGAGTTTCAACAAAGATAAATTAAGCTTATTTTTTTTAATTCGTTGAGGGAAGTTCGGACGCGGCGGAGCTGGCAGCGAGGGCTGCGGGCGCTGCGCACCTGCAGCCAGTGGCCGGAAGCCAGCGGGCCAGGGTCTATTTTAGGAAGCGAGAAAACACGGCTGACAAATTTATAGCTTATGGTTATGAAGAAGTGGTTTCGGGTGGTTTTGCCCACAAATCTAAAAGTGTTGCTCTGAGCAAAACAACACCTGGGTGATCTGAGCTCTAAAATAACTCACTGACAGAAACTGGGAGTTTCCTTTTTTAAACTGCTTGGGTTTAATTGTTCGGTCCTAGCTTCCCAACGTCTCCTTTGTATTTTTTCGAAGTAAGATGTTTAAGAAATTAAACAGTCTTAGGGGCGTTCATACAACTTTTTTCAATCGGCTGTCCCTTCAGATGGAAATTAGTCTCCCCCTGGGTCCCTGTCCCCAGAGCACTGTTTTTACAACAACCGTCCCAGGTTTTCAAGTTAGTGGTTTTCTCTCTGCAGTAAAGAAACACTTTGATGTTCTGATAAAGTTGCCTGCATTTCAGTATTTTTCAAGACCACTTTTCAAGTATTCCTTTGAGGACAGATTTTAAGTGAGATGTGTGTAATTGTCCTGAATTATTGCAGTGAAGCTGTTTGTCAGGGGATCCAGAGGAGACCAGTCAGGTCTCGAGTCAGGAGGGACCCAGGCATGTTGCAAGGAAACGTTCTGACTTGAACTTGTTCCTGTGGAGGGTCTGAGAGTGGTCCCCGGCCCCAGGCCCCGGGATGCGGAGGTGCAGCGCTGGCTTCTGCCACCTGCCCGCGTCCCGAGTGAGTCCCAAGTCGAGCGAGTAGAGAATTTGGAGGAATCGTTGCATGAGAAAGACCCCACGGCACTTTCCAGTGACCCTGCAGACATGGTAAGAGGCAGCCTGCTGCCCACTTGCTGGAGGCAGTTGGTTTGATGGTTTTGCTTCCACCTGAAGGCAGATCTTGAGTGGTTGATGCTCAGCGAAGGCGAGAGGCTTGAGTGATCTCCTTGAGCTGCCCTGGCCTGAGTCCCTCACATTTAACTTTCCCTGAAGAACATTCCAGGGAAACGTGGCAAGTGCTGCCCCATTGCTACCCAGGTATGGGTGGTGTGGCTCAGACAAGCCCCCACTTCTGTTGTCTTTTTGTGACTCGAGGCGGCTTTGGCTTCTGGTCATTGTTGAGCATTAGAAAGTGGCCCGAGCCTTCTAAAGAGCTGTGTGCTCAAGAGCAGGATTCTAGGTGGCAAATTCAGAAAAGCGCGTGTCCTGGCCATTTCTAGTGATGATCTATCTTTCTCGAGGGGGAACATGGTTAGAGTCGGGGGCTGGTTGTAGGGATTGTGCCGGGAGGGAGAAACAGCACTGCCGATTCCAAGGCTCCCCACGTCCCGCAAGATGTTTTAATGACTTAAAGCTGCAAGGGAGTATTTTAACCAGGTCGCTGAAGGAGGGTAGTGCTTGGTAGTGCTTGGGAGCCGAAAGCAGGTTGGAGCAGGGGCCGGGGACTGGGAACTGGGGTACCCAGGGGTGAGAGGCAGAAAGAGGCCCAGGGAAGGAGCTGCCCCTGGCCTGAGTCCAGCTGTACAGAACTCCTGGATGAGACAGCTTCAGCTGAAGCAAGCAGGTCTGGTGGTCTGGCCCTTTCGTGCCAGAACCACTGGGCTTTCAGGTCTATCCAGGGCTGCTGCACTGGGCTGCTCAAGGCAGGTCAGAGCTGAGCTAAACTAAACCAGTTTGAACTGAGTTTTCTGAGCAGAGTTGGCCTGGGTGAGCCAGGCTGAGCCGGGTGAGCTGGGCTGAGCTGGGCTGAGCTGGGCTGAGCTGGGCTGAGCCGGGCTGGGTGAGCTGAGCCGGGCTGAGCCGAGCTGAGCCGAGCCGGGTGGGCTGGATGAGCCGAGCTGGGCTGGGTAAGCCGGGCTGAGCTGGGCTGAGCTGAGCTGAGCTGAGCTGGGTGAGCTGAGCTGGGCTGGGTAAGCCGGGCTGAGCTGGGCTGAGCCGGGCTGAGCTGAACTGGGTGAGCTGAGCTGGGATGGGTAAGCCGGGCTGAGCTGGGCTGAGCTGGGCTGAGCTGAACTGAGCTGAACTGAGCTGAGCTGGGCTGAGCTGGGCTGGGCTGGGTAAGCAGGGCTGAGCTGGGCTGAGCTGAGCTGAGCTGAGCTGAGCTGAGCTGAGCTGGGCTGGGCTGGGTAAGCAGGGCTGAGCTGGGCTGAGCTGAGCTGGGCTGAGCCGGGCTGGGCTGGGTAAGCCGGGCTGAGCTGGGCTGGGCTGAGCTGAGCTGAGCTGAGCTGAGCTGAGCTGAGCTGGGCTGAGCTGAGCTGAGCTGAGCTGGGCTGGGTGAGCTGAGCTGGGCTGGGCTGGGCTGAGCTGGGCTGGGTGAGCCGGGCTGAGCTGGGCTGAACTGAGCCAGGCTGAGCTGAGCTGAACTGAGCTGGGCTGGATGAGCTGAGCTGGGCTGGGTTGGGCTGAGCTGAGCTGGGCTGGGTGAGCTGAGCTGGACTGAGCTAGGCTGAGCTAGGCTGAGCTGGGCTGGGCTGAGCTGAGCTGGGCTGGGTGAGCTGAGCTGGGATGGGTGAGCCGGGCTGAGCTGGGCTGAGGTGGGCTGAGCTGGGCTGAGCTGGGCTGGGCTGGGTGAGCTGAGCTGGGCTGGGTAAGCTGGGCTGAGCTGGGCTGAGCTAGGCTGAGCTGGGCTGAGCTGGGTGAGCTGAGCTGGGCTGAGCGAGCTGAGCTGGGCTGAGCTGGGCTGGGTGAGCTGAGCTGAGCTGAGCTGAGCTGAGCTGGGCTGGGCTGAGCTGAGTTGAACTGAGCCGGGCTGAGCTGAGCTGAACTGAGCTGGGCTGGGTGAGCTGAGCTGAGCTGAGCTGAGCCGGGCTGAGCTGGGCTGAGCTGGGCTGGGCTGGGCTGGGTGAGCTGAGCTGGGCTGGGTAAGCTGGGCTGAGCTGGGCTGAGCTAGGCTGAGCTGGGCTGAGCTGGGTGAGCTGAGCTGGGCTGGGTGAGCTGAGCTGGGCTGAGCTGGGCTGGGTGAGCTGAGGTGAGCTGAGCTGGGCTGAGCTGGGCTGGGCTGAGCTGAGTTGAACTGAGCCGGGCTGAGCTGAGCTGAACTGAGCTGGGCTGGGTGAGCTGAGCCGGACTGAGCTGGGCTGAGCTGGACTGAGCTGGGCTGAGCTGGACTGAGCTGGGCTGAGCTGGGCTGGGCTGAGCTGAGCTGGGTGAGCTGAGCCGGACTGAGCTGGGCTGAGCTGGGTTGAGCTGACCTGAGCTGAGCTGTGTAAGCTGGGCTGAGCT